CCCACAGTATTGGCACATGATGAGCTCTAGCACTGGAACAGGAAGAGGAAAGTGCGAACAGAAATCTGCCACCTGCTGGGAAGTGTGGAACTACTGCTAAGACTATCAAGAAGTTTTGTTAATGAGTGACATTCTTCAGTTTTAAAAACTTTAATTATTTAAAATACTTAATGTATGGAATAAGTCTAAGTTATGTAGAAATGATCATTTATATATTTAAAACTGGATAGTTCCTTTTTCCTGATGGCCGAAACATTGGATTTATGTCTGTTGAGTTTGGTGTTTTGCCAACTAACCTGGTAGAAGACATCTGACCAGCTGGTCTTTGTGGATGTTTGTCAAACCATCAGGATCCTTTTGTATTCCAGCTTTATGTGCATCCCTATTCCTATTCACAAAATGTATTAAAAATCAGAAAAATTATTTTTTCTAAGAAAAAGGACTCATGGTAATCTCTGAATAATAAAAGCAATTAAACCCATTTATATCTACTATTTTTTAAAATGGAATTTAATGTTACAGTATAATCATTTATTTTTCTTAAGCCCTATAAGGTTTTTATCCTAGACTTATTTATGTTGCTTTCTAATGCTTATAGTTATATATTTCATAAAATTATGTTCATGGGCATATGTGTATGTATTCTTTTTTAAAAAGGACTGGGTACTTCTATAAAAACTAAGTTATGGATATAAACAGTTTGTTTTCCTGTTTTAATGATAGGAAATGGATAAATAAGAATAGTAAATATTTAACTACCCAAATATTCTAGAATCATTGGATCTTGGGACTAGGAGATATTTCAGATCATTTGAATCTCATTTCCTAATGTCTGATTCAGTAGGTCTGAAATGAATATAGGAAATCACAATTGTTTAAAAGGCTCTCCAAATGATTTGGTTGGTGAGTAAAGTTTAAGAAACATTTAATAGAGTTTAGTGGTTGCCCAATGTGCCAGCCACCATTTCCAGGGCTCTGTCACATAAAACCTCAGGTCATCTTGGAAACCTCCAGGACAGAGGAAAACTCTTCCTCTAGTCACAGGCCATTCCATCTTTGGATAGCTCTATACAGAGTTCCACAGTGAGCCCAGAAGCTCTCTGCTTACTCTTTTGAGCTCTTACAAACTGGACTAATCATTGAATATTTGAGCACAGCCCCTAGAGTATTTGAAAAATACCTGTTAGCTTTCTGTCACTGATGCCTGAGATAAACAACTTCAAGAAAGAAAGATTATTTGGTTCATGGTTTCAGAGGTTTCAGTCCATGGTTGCTGACCATGTTGCTTTGGGCCTGTGGCAGCATAGTATATCACAGTAGAACTGTATGATAAAGGAGGCCTGTTCACCTAATGGCTGCTAGAGAGCAAAGAGGAAGGAGCTACACCCAGGTCACCTTCAAGGGCAGGCCCCAGCTGACCTAACTCCCTTCACTGGGCTTGAACTCCTGAAGGTTCCACCACTTCCCAGGAGTGTCAGAGGCTGGTTACCAAGCCTCTTAGCATATGGGCTTTTGGGGGACATTTAAGATCCAAACCAAGACAGTACCTTCCCCTAGCAGCTCTATTCATTCCTAATAAGAGAACACTTCCCTGCCCCTCTCCCCTTGTCACTTATTGTGTGCTTATGATAAAACAGTGCTCTAAATGTGGCCAACTCTGGTAAAACTGTATTTTTCCTGTGGGTTTACAGGATCCTAGGGGGAGTTCAGAGGCTTGCGGGGATATAGGTTGGCCCACAGTGGCTAAAACCATGTAGCTCTTCAGCTCATTTTTCTTTGGAGTTGGGTACAATGCTGGGGCTTCAGTGAGAGGCAAGAGACTAAGGTCCCAGCCCAGGCCAGATACACCATCTAGCTTCTCAGGAATCTGCCATGGCGCCTGGGACAGAAGACCAGTTGACTGTCAGGTGGTACTTTGCCTGCCTTCATCATCAGCCTTTGTTTTCATGTCTGTTAAGATTCTTACAGAAAGAAGAATCAGCTGGGTAGACATCTGAGTCTGTCCTCAATCCCCATTACTAACAACCAGTCTGAAATTCTAGAATGTTTCAGAAATAAGCCCAAATTACAGAATAATGAAGTCTTGGTACCTCCTGATTGTTATCTTGTGATTTGAATAACCAAATTTACTTATTTCCAGATCATTGATACCTTTTATTTGAAAATCTGGGTTTGTAAGTAAGGTATTTCTTTATAGGGACATTCTTTGATAAAATGACACATTTTGAAATCCAGTTATTTTGAGCTTTCATGCCTACAGACTGCCACACAAAAACCTACCCGCTTCAGGGACACTTTACATAACTGTAGGTCTAACCTGAGTATGAGGGTGAGAAAGCCAAAATATAGCCCTTTGGGGATGCTGAACAAATATGGCCCAAGGGCTACATTCAGGACCCTAGGTTTTGGTTTTCGGGGATAGGCCTTACATCAAATGTTAGCAAAAATGGAATCTTGGGGAGGTGGGCAATCCTGTAACTTTGAGAAATTGTTAGGCTCACACTTTTTTGAGAAGATATCTATAGAGTTTGAACTTGAACTGTGGTAACCCATGAGGTTTAGGTTGGCAGTAGACCCAGAACATGAGCTGAAGACAGTCAAGTCTTCGTAGCACTTGATGCTTGGGGTATGAAAAGTTTTATTGGGAAAGTGCTCATTGTCTGGTTCCACTTGTTAGTTCCTAGAGGGATAGAATCAAATGCTTCCAAAATGCACCACAGGCCACATATCAGCCAGAACTAGGTAAAATCTGACCTCATTAATCTTAAAAATGTAGCTTGACCACATGAGTGGGAGCCTGCACAAGGATGCTCCTCTGTGGCAGGCCCTGAACCCAGCATCTGAGGTAGAACCAGACAGGAAGTGGCCACCACTCAGAAGAGGTTTCAGGGACCCAGGCAGAAGAGCTCCAGAGGTAGTATGTAGCAAGTCAGAACATCCTTCTGTAATTAAAAGTATGGCTAAGAGAATTTTCTTTTCTGAAATGTAGAAGCAAAGAAGTTCATGGAATATAGCTGCTCACAAGTAAGACTGCCTCAAAGGACTGATGGATCTCAGATATGTGGGTCCAGAGATCAAATGAAAGATGCTGAGGGAACCATGCTCCGTAGTGGAAAAGTGTAAGTAATACCCCTATACCATCCTGCCCAATTCTTTTACTCCATAGAACCTAAGGAGTGCACAAATTTCCAAAGAACCAGGTGGTTGGATAAAATCTCACTTTTGGTGGCAAGTGAAGACTTTGAAGGCCATAGTTGGAATTGCAGGCAACTTTGATTTAGAGGTATTTGGTCACATGTGCAGGTCTATACAACAACCATATTTTTCTAAGCCTTGAAGTGTTGTGATAATGGGACAACTGGCCCCATTTTGCACTTTTTAAATTAACCCAGTTTATCAAACTATAAAACTATTTTCTTAGAAATTCCTGACTTACAACTTACTATTAACAACCTTGTAAAAAATTCAAATTTGCCAATCTTACCCTCTATAGTTCTTACTTGAATTTGTTTATTTTGATCATATAGATCTGGCGTGTCTAATAGTACAGAGTTGGTATGCTTCCTGACGTCTTCTACTTTAGAAGTTAGAGGGTTTTATTAGAATTGAAAGAAAATTACTCATATTTTAAAAGAATGGCTCAAAACCAAAATGTACTTTGAATGATAAAGGGTCCAAATCAATCTTGTTTAATTTAAAATTTGGGAGAGCTGGGAGCTGTACAGCTGGAGAACGAAGTCTTTCTGCTTCTGTGAGGCTTTGATAGCTTGGTTACAAAGACACTCAAGTTGCAGGGAATGAAACATTGCAACAGGTGGTGTATGTGAAGAGGAGTACTGTAAAATCCTAAGACAACTACACCCTTCACTTGGGAGACAAAAATAACATCCTTTTAGAGAAACCAGTGTAAGGGAGGAAAAATCTTTTTAACTGTAAATGGTATACTGTGTTCAAGGAAATATCCAAATACCAAAATATGGTTGAAGTCTCTCGTGCTTTGTAAAAATGTTTGATTTTTATTTTCTCAGAAATACCTGGGGCACTAACATTGCTGGTGGCCTTTCCAAGACAGGACTGCTTATTCCCTGGGAGTATCTTATCCCAGGAGACTGACCCTGGTCAAAAAACAGACCTGAGTGAAGGGTGCAAGTGTGTTGAGAACAGATGCTGCAACTTGAGTACTCTCACCAGAAAGTATGCTGGTCATAGAATCCACACACGCTTATGGCTCTATCATCTGTTACACCCCCATTCCAGAGGGAGGATTTGCTAGGCGAAAAAAGGTTAAGGGCCTCCTGGGTGTGAAATGTGTGCCTTAAGACTAGAGTAATTGGGTTTCTTTTTTAATGTTCATGAAGCCTGACCCAGGCCAAGAAAGGGAGGGAATGGAGCCAGAAGCTCTGGAAAGAGAATCTGTTCCTCCCCAGTCTGATTTTAGGCAGGCCGCATGCCTGCTGCTCTCATTTACCTCATCCTTACACAAGGCTGACTGCTCATATGTTGACAGGATGCCATGAGGATTATTAAGTAAGGAAACTGAACTTCACAAGAATTTCTATACAAATTTAAGTGTTCTAGTTCTCCCTTACAACTTAGGATATGCAGAATATATAACCAAGAAGAAACGCTACCTTTGTTGGTAGAAATTTGAGATAGGCTGAAGCATCTCTCTCAGGACAACACAAATAAATGGAGTAAAAGGGAAGGTCTTCAAAAGCTATTTGAGTGTTAGTTTTAATATGAAAATGGAAGAATTTTTTTTCCTGCTGTCTATAGGTTATCCTGTTGATGTGTATTTAGGACTTGAAATTCGTTATAAGATTCTAGTCATTCTTGCCTTTGTGCTCTGACCTTCCTGCTCAACTCATACAAGAGAGTCTATCACTGGTTCTACTTCACGTGAAGTAAGTTTGGAAATAGATTTCTAAGATGGACTTTCTTAGAACTTTTATATTCAAAAATGACTAAACATTGAATCAAAAGAAGAATATGACCATAAATAATATGACCATAAATATTTTTATTAAATGTGAAAATACACGGGCATAAAAATAGTACCCATATTTGTAGGCATGTCTGAGATCCATTTCAAATAATTTTAGGTTCCTTTTTTATTAAAACACTAAATCAAGATGGATTAAGTTAGTCTTTTCTCTTATTCAAAACAAACAACCTTAGGGTTAGAGTAATAGCTTAACTTCTCTAACATCTCCAATTTTCATCTCCCCTGTGCTCTGCTTCTTTCTGCAGGTAAGTGTTTCATCCACAGATGAGTAAAACAAAACCTGTTACTATACACAAAGCCACGCAGTGGCTAATTTTACTCTTGAATCATTCAGCAAATGAGATCATCTGTTTTAAAAAAAAGTCATCCCACCTCTTAACATCATTTGAAATTACAGAAAAAATTCTGCCTCTAACAGAAAAAGAATGATCTGATCTAAAATAAGGATACTGGTTGTTACTAACAAATTAGCATTTGCTTTCTTCTCTCTTTATAAATATGGAAAAATCAACTACATATTCTCAACAGGTTATCCTATTGATGTGTAGTTAGTGAAAACATTTTGCAAGGACCATCACCAGTGCCCTGTGTATGTAATGCAGGTGGTTCCAACACAGACCAGAAGAATAATTTTGAACTTGCACTTTCTTCCTGGTAAGTGTGAAATATAACTTCTGGCCAATTTCATGCCTTTAAAGGTGAAACTTGTCATTATTAGTTATCAACTTTTTTTTCTTAAAAAAAATCATGGGTAGTTTTTAGATTCCATTATCAGAGCTCCCACAACTTATTTTCATACTGATATTTAACTAAAATATACTTTTAACACTGACTAATGAGAAAGACATGTTAAAATTAATCATCACATCCGATTCATATTATTAAACTACTGGAATTGTTTTCAATTTTTCATCTATTCATGGTAAGAAAACTTTCAGAACTAAGGAATGATTTAAATGCTGTCTCCCTTTTTAGAACATTTTAAAACATAACTAGGCTGAAATGTTTTAATTCCTGCTACAGAAAGTGTCTGCAGTGTAATAATAGTCCAGACCAGTGACGCTTCAGTAGCCCACCAAAAGGGAAGGGAGGAGTTGAGAACAGAAGACAACAACATGCCCCTCTCTGATACTGTTCTTTCCAGAACATTCACAAAGGTTACCTGCAGCATCTGCAGTCCATAAAGAGACTGGAATGTGAAAGTCATCCCACAGAAAAAGAAAAATGTTTTTTACAGGGATATGTTTTCACACTGCATATAAGCAGTGGAATAACAGCTTCTTTGTACCTTTACACATCCAGGGTTTTTCTCAGCCACTGTTTGAGAACACACAGTGACTGTATTTCTATTTGACTGGACACCAGAAGACTACTGACAACCATCCAGGCTGACACCTGAAGCCCTTTCCTCCCTCCTTCATCAGCACAAGTGATCCCAGAGAACTTGTTTCCTTATGTGGCACTGACACTTGGCACCAAAGCTCTGTTGTTCTCTTCACTGAAAACCAGCAAGTAACTGCACAATTTGATTAAGTTGACTAAACTAAATCCACAGTAATTTTAGTTGTTACAAGTGGAGAAAAAAATGAAATGCAAAAGCCCTTTGGGCAGCCAGTTAAGAGGCAGCTAGGCCCAGCCCTCAACCGTCTGAGTCCCCGCTGGCAAATTTTTATGCTCCCAAATGCAAGGGTGAGTCACTTTACTATTTCCCTTGATCTGTGTGAAAATTCTTACTTTTGAAAGTAAGTAGAGGCCGTCATTATTTCAAAGAGTGATAACCACAAAAGGAACCAGTTTAAAAAAATATATTGCTAACGTAACTAGTGAAGTAATGAGATTACTAAGATTACAGAACAAAATGAATTTACTTACTGTTTTCATATTGCCTTGAATTTTGAGACATTAAATGAAAGCTGCAAGCTGTTTACTAGTTTTCAAAATGCACTATTTAAGTTTATCAGTAAGAAACAGATTTCTAAATAGATGCACAAAGCACTTAAGTGTTATGTGATTTATGTCCTTCAGTTAAAAACATTTTTTTTTTCCATGTGACTAGAGAAAAACAACTTGTGCATGGTTGTTGCAGTCCTTTGTGGGTGGTCAGGATGGCCCTACAGGAACTAAAATGCTTGATTTCACAGAAGCCATATATTAGAACTTTTAATGCTTAAAATGTTTCAAATGCTTCAAGGCAAAACAAAAAACCTTTCTAGAATGAAGGTAAAAAGTAATCTTAGATTTTAAATTCAGCATTAGCAGTTCCATAAATATTCACTGTTCTTAGAAACATTTTTTAGGGTAAAAACTATCCAGTATACAATGACTGAATAGTATAATATCTTACCTTCCCTTCCTTTTGAAGAAGGTAACTATCTCTGAAGAAGATGCTACGTTGTGAAGTGAAATGATAATGGATGCAGAGCCAGCAAAAACCAACCAATTTGCAAGCCTGTATTTTCTTTTGGGCAGAACTAAGAGGCACCCAGGCCTGGCTGGTGAGGGCAGAACTACTGTCCAACACACCAGCAAACAACTCCCATGGGGAAGTTGCTCAGAGGGTCAGTCCAGATGTAAGAGAAACTGCCCTACGGTACTGCTTGAAAGTAGGAGTCAAATAATACCACTGCTTTATCATATAACTAAATATAAAATGTAAAACAGGTTCCAATTGTTCTGTTTAATGTTAAGCAAAAGGGCCCATAGGTTCTTAGAGTTAAATTCAAGGTTTTTTTCAGTATCCTGTAGGTACTAAACAAAAAAATGTTTAACATCAATCCATTCTATACCAGGATATATCAACTACCATTTGGTGGCAAATTTCCTAAAAGACTCTGCCCCTTCCTCAGTGACAGCTGTGTTGATGCTTGCACAGGAATAATCAGATGTACCTTAAAGGAGACATAGCAATTTAACATTAGCAAGTGACTGAACTGACCAAAAATCTAAGCATAGTTGTTCCTAAGAACAATAAAGCTTATCTGTTCATTTTCTCTTTAAGAACTGAAACACAACCCCTTCTCATGAAGATCACATCTCCTTCACAGAGGTACTATGCAAGGCTGTGAAGAAAAGAATCTACATGTTCCAGTGCTGAAAACACAGAATATGTGAGCACTTCCACAGGTGAGCTGCTTCAGACTACTTCTTCCAGACATTCATAAAATGAATACAGACTCTTGTCAGAGATAGAACCATCCTTGCCCGCCCCCTTGCAGATCCATCAACCTTAGGTCTACAGTGGATAAGAACAGATTTTTTCCTGTTAAAACAACTCTTTGGTCATGGACAAAGATTTGAAATTTTTTTTCATTAGGATCCCAGAACAAGATTTTTTTTAATCTTTAAAAAAAAAAATTAAGGAAGAGCAGAAAAACAGTTGATTTAATTGAAGTGGAATTTAAATCTAAATGGTCCGCCTGAGCTGAAGGGATTGAACCCTTGCCATGAGTTCCAGCTTCTGTGAAAAGGGTTTCCACCACCTCCTTGTTGGCTCTCTGCATCTAGGGGATCTTCTCCATCATCAAACTTCTTCCTCATTTCTAGAAAAGAAATCAACAACTTAAGATCCGGGCATTAACAAAGGTACATTGGCAGGGAGGTGTCAGGAAACTACTTTTTAGTAGTGCTCTTTGGAGATACTACAGACTTCCAAAAGTTGCACTCTTCTGATAAAATAGCTATATTAGCACCTTAAGCCCCAAAATTAAGTGTACCAGCAATAAATTCACTACCACCCTCTTCCCCAAGCACAAAATGAACTTCCTAGAACCTCACTATTCAACCTGAGCAGCACTGTGGTTCCTCAGGTACAAGGGGGGGGGCAAGGCCCCCTTAATGCACCCTCCAGCAGGCTCAGTTTCCCTTCTGTAACTGGTGCCCCACTACTGTGCCTCTCAGCCCTGAGCAGAGACACAGTGCAGATACAGGAATTATATAGAGATGGGAAGAAGCTGTTCATTTCGAGAATAAGAATAGGAACTAGGGAAAACACTCTGCAGTGTTTTTCTCTGTGCAGAGCTCCATGATGATAGACTCCACTCCAGAGTACCCTCTCTCAAAAAAAAAAAAACTCCTTATTCCTGGTTAGATGGAGCTGCCCCACACTGCATGGGCCTAACCATTTGAGGGATATTATAGGCACCTGATAGTTGCCAAATAACAGGACAGTATGTGTTCCTACTAAGTGAAGTGCAGTTCTTTCTCCCTTACTAAGTTATACATTACTTAAAAACAAAGGATCATTTAACTTCCATTCCATGGCATAAACAGGTGTTCAAAAAAGATTTGCCAGACTGGTAAAACTTGAATGTCTCTTTAAGTTGTAGGTGGACACAATATATTCATATATTTATTTGTATGTAGTGCTGAGGATCAAACCCAGTGCCTCACGTGTGCGAGGTAAGCACTGTACCACTGAGCTATAATCCCAGCCCCCTTGAACGTATTTAGCTCACATCAAGGTTTCTAATTCCACTGACAAGGAAGGCCACAAAAAATGGTAGCTTAACATCAAACTTCTGAAATGAAAAAGCATTATTCATTATTATCTCAGTTCTCAGCCAGTCTCCAGGCCATGTTAATATATGATAAAAGAACTGACCAACCAGTTTAGGATAAGATTGCTGGTGATCACACCCAGAGATGCAAAGGATGACCTGACTACTTGTTTCCTCACTGTGTTCCGAGGAGTTTAGAATTCATTACTGACCTGTGAAGATGGAAGGAACCTAGAAGGTAATGTGATTATGCTCAATTTTATCAGATTTGGAAAGAGGAAAAAAATAACCCATAAGGCCTAAAAGTTGTAGAAAAGATTCAAGCTCAAGCTTCTGACTCCACATTTGATCTGAGGGACCCAGATCAGATGAGGCAGATATAAAACAATTTCTAAAACTGCAGGACCAGTCACAGACCCACAAAGACAACTTACCATGCTTTCCACCCTCCACTTCTGATACTGCTTTCTGAGATGAGGCAAAGGAATAAGAGCTAATAATCTACTTTCAAGAGACTGGGATGATGCTGAGGGCAAATAATACCTGGATCAGAGAGAACTTCTTTAGCAGCTGCTATGTCAATGAACTTTTTCTCAGCCTTTTTCTTTTCTTCTTCATTTTGGAAGTTATCTGGGTGCCACTGCAGTGCTAATTTTCTATATGCCTTAATGATTTCTTGCTTTTTGGCATTTCTGAGGGGTGGTAAAACAAACAATCATTAGTTAAGTAGCCAACCTTCTTCCATAAAAAATGAGATTAACTGTCAATGGGATTTTATAGTTCCCAGCTCTGTGTGACCATTAAAATCAGCCAGGCTGCCTCAGATACCTGTTCACTAAGAATTTCTCTGAGAATAAAGTACTGATTTTATAATTTAAGATACCTTGATTTGATTCCTGTTTGGCATTAAAAAGGCTTTGAACCATCTGCCTTGGAATTAGTTTACTTATTAAGAACAAAGTTTCAGGCTTTGGTTTGAAGATTGACAGTTTACTGGGTCACAGAAGATGGTCTTATGATAAAAGTATAACTTTATTTTTAGGCCAAAGATATTTTTCTTTTCCTCATTCCTTCTCTCTCCACCAAAAGAAAGTTCACTTCTACTACTTTAACCTTTCCTAATAATAATCTATGTCTAGGACCTGGTGTGTACAGCCTTTGTCACCAACTTTTAATTCTCTATTATTGGTCTCTATCAAACTTGCCTGTAGCATATTCAAAATAGCTTTGTTATTAAGGATTGTTAGAATAATAGTTGACCAAAATTACATAAGTAAATGAATCAAGGAGAGAGAAAGAGATGATATGATTAGCTTTAAGACAGTAGCAATGTAAATTTTAATAATTTCACCTTTTTACTCCCAAGATTTTATAATAATCTCGTTTCTGTGACTGTTTCAATAGTCTCTGTGCTTTTTCTAGACCTTCCCGAATCTGCTGATCATTTTCATTGTGTTCCTGAGCAGCTTCATAATCTTGAATAGCTGTAAAAATATGTTTAAGATAATGCTGTTAGGGGGGATTACAATTTATTGCCTCTACACATCCTGCAGAATTGATACTAAAGTCATGCCCCTTCATCATTATTGCTAAAAGCTTAAGTAAAAACTTTGTTCACAAACTTACAAAAGACAATTAAGGCTGAAGTCAGGTAGCCTGTTAAAAAATGCACTGCTCTTGGTTTACTTGCCCACCCTCCCATATCATCTCCGCGTGCCTCCTTCAATGTACTTTAATATCAGTACTCCACATTAAACACAGTAATCTTCACTGAAACTGAAGTGAATGTTCATAGGAAAGTAAGGCATTGGCAAAGAAAATCTGAGTGGACAGTTTAATAAAGATGCTAGAAAGGTGTCAGGGTGACCACGTCAACTATAGGTTTCAACACACACAGTAGCAACAGTGATTTTTGGCCAAGGATTTTCAGTTTAACAAGCAAGAAAAATTTAAAGGCAACCATCAGGATAGTCTAAGATGAAAACAAGCCTGCACAAGCTCTTGACCTGGCATGTGGAGCATCTGCCTGCAGCACTATCCCCCCTAGGGCCCCCAAATCTGCCTCTAAGCAGAGTGAAACATGTGCAACGTGGAGGAACCCCTGACATGGCAGCTTGGCAGGTACCATAGAGGGGGCATGTTTATGTGAACAGTTGCCACCCACTTAAAGCCTACCTGAGCTCCCCAATACAGAGAAGAATTTCAAGAAAACAGCAAGTGATTTTCTCCATTAAGTCCCAAATTAGTTTTTATTCAAACTAGAGCTAAACCACTTCTCACCTTTCCCAGCTACCACTGGGAAGCCTTCGCTCTTTTAGTGCAAAAAGAGATGTGCCTGTTTCTGAATATGAAGTTTTACTGGAATACAGCCATGCCTATTCATCTGCCTATTGCTTTTGCATAGCAACAGCAGAATTGATAGTTGCAACAGAAACCATATGGCATGCGGAGCCTGCAATATTTACTATCTAGGCCTTTATACATTTGCCAATTTCTGCTCTTAAGCAATAAAAAGAACTACCAAAGCATGTAACATAAATCTCAAAAACATGCTGAATGAAAAACTTTATATATATATGTAATCTGTGGAGAAAATCTGAACAACAGTTGCCTATGGGATGGGTAAAGGACCAGAGGTAATGCTGTATTCTGCATATTGACAGAGACTCTCCTTTGACCAAAACTTTACACAGACTCTTCTAACTAGATCCCAACCTTGGGATTCTCCATCCTGGTAGAATCTATTTTGAGCTAGAGTCTTGCTAAGCCTGTTTAGAAAAAAAAAATCCCCCAACCTTGGTATCTGACCACAATTTTATCATATTCCTTGTCCCTAGGTTCTATATCTTATCACCCTGGCTTGCTTTCTGCTGGAAGTTTCAAAAACATGTACTTTATATATTCATATAAATGGATCCACAGTTGCTCTACTCAGTGTGTGAAAATATATAAGCAGCTTTTAACAGCAAGCCAAATTTCTATGATCCTAATATGACCAATCTCTTCCCCCTATATAGGAGCTAGGGACCTAAGTCAACAACCTGGAAAGAAGAATCAGCCATGAGAACTCTGAAATGCACCCTAGATATTAAAGTATAGCAGGATGCATCAGGTGCTCCTCCCCTCAGGTTCTAGCAAATATAACTGCTTAACATTTTGGTGTTGGTTTAGTGTCACTTTGTTCCTGTCAAAAGCAGCCCCAATGAGATCTAAAGAGTTCCCCTTCATTTTTCCTGACATCGAAGGCATCCTTGAACAAGAATGTTTGTGTTTTATTTTGGTACTGGAGATTGAAGCCAGGGGTGCTTAACCACTAAGCTACATCCCAGCCCTTTTTATTTTTTGAGATGGGGTCTTGCTATACTGCTGAGACTGGCTGCAAACTTGAAATCCTTCTGCCTCAGCTGCCAGGTTGCTGGGATTATAGGCATGCACCACCTCGATGGGCTCAAACAATAGTCTTTACTTACTTTCTATGGATGGATCCCCAAATTAATAAAGCCCCATATTCCATTATTCACAAAACTATACCTATCAATGCTTAAATATTTTTAAATTGATTTTTAAAATGGTAAAGCCAGTAAATAGAAGAATATGGAAAGCCTTCATTTTAACTCAAGATTTCAACTGAAGTATTTATTATCTAGCCTTCTTATCATGATTGCTCCTTTACATCATTTACTTTCTCTTCACTCCCTTTGTCCCCATCTTAGATTTAATTTTTATACTTGTAATAAGACAAAGAATAAACTCATGTTTAAATTAGTATTAAGCCATTAGATTTCCCTAAAAAGCAAAACCTGCTTTTTTCATTACAAAAGCACCTTTTGAATTATATTTAACAGCTGAAGAACTCTGACTTAACAGCTAAGTTTTTTCTACTGTGGTTTCCCTAATTTTACCATTAAGAGCTAAGGACTTACGTAGAGATAACAAGATGTTCCTTTGATCAAAACTAACTGGAATGCAAAATCCTAGCATAAAGTCATCTCTTCATGGGGACAACGTAGCTCAAAAAGGAAAGGAGCAAACTCAAAGGATCTTCCATGTGGACTCCATTCTAACTTAATTGTTCTGATTGCATACATTTTTAAACCTCACTGAGCTTCAAGGTCTGAATGCCCCACAAATGGTCACCAAAGTTGTCATCACCACCGAAAACTAAGATTCTTTGCAAATCGGGGAAAGCAGGAAAAAAATGACCAATTTATTTTTTTAAAAGTAAAACCACAAACCAAATTTCACTGTAACAGAAAACTTAATTTAAAATGTTCTACCTGATCTGAAACAAAAAATTTTTGCAATAAGCATCTATAAGGCTCATTTCTTTAATTAAATAAATGTTCATGACATACTGTCACACAAAGCTACAAAACAATACATAGAATTGTTTTTTAAAAAAAATGTATATTGCTGTATGTGCCTTACTTTCAGAAAATAGGACACTGCCTGTATTACGCATCCTCATAACATCTAGCAGGAATCTCTCTTCATTTCTTCAACTCAAGTAGCGAAAAAGCAGCTATCCTAATGTTAGTACACAATATGAAGGTCACAGAGGATCATTTTTTATTAGACATGAATTTTATGTATGCTTTATGTTTATATTATACAAGCTGGGTATATATGTATATACATAAAATATAGACTAATGTGCTTAGACAAAGGTCTGGAAAGATATAAATCCAAAATGAATAGTGTTTATCTCTGATGATGAGATCTATAAATTATTTGTTTTGTTTTTTTTCTCTTAAGTTGACTACTTGCCTGTACCAACCTACAGCAAAGAGCACTAAAATTTTTATATTATTCTCAATTAGTTTTCAATAGAACTGTTTCCATAATGTACCTTTTAAATTCCACTAAGAATAATTTCACACTTACTACCACTTTTCCAAAATTGTCAACATTCCCAGGTATGCTGGTAAATATGTTCTAAATAAAAGGCAACTGAACATGTGCAAATTTGACATAATGAACCTTTAGATACTGCAAATCAAATTCCTTAAAGATTTACCTTCATCATACATTTCTTCTATTAAATAGGCCTCTGCTCGATCTTTTAGTGCATTCACATTGTCAGGTTCTATCTGTAAAACTTCAGAACATACTCTAATGGCTTCAACAGGCTTCTCATCCTAAAAGCAAGTATGAGAAAAGAATTTACGGTTGTTATTCATCATGTTAAATATTTACATTTCAGGGAAAAGTCAACTGTTACCTTAGAAAAGCAGTGACAGATCCTTTCTTTTGAACGAACTGTGTATTCAGCAATGCTGGGCTCTGTTTTCATGACAGATTCATATTTGCTGATTGCATCTGTGTATCTATTAAATGAGCAAAATGTGATGAGTAACCAATAAAATTATATTTCCAGAGCTGTGCAAAGGACCCTCTCTCTTCACTGTGGGTTGCTTTATCAATTCAAGTAAATGAGCACCTGCCTTTAAACACTGTTCAGACCTTGTTAACCCAGAGTTGCATGGAAGGTACAGTCCAGAGATAAACACCTGGCCACAGGAGGTATACCCAGACACATCAAGGCATGCCTATGAACACCAAACCCAGTGACGAAGTCCTTTACAGACCAAAGCTCAGATTTTGAAACTCAAAACACCTGAAGTTTGACTTAAATTGAGCACTTTCAAAACAGAATTCCAGTTTTATTTTTTGGCTACTACACATTTTTATGGAAAAATGGCACATAATGGGCTGTTGTTATCAGTAAATGCCAATATTCACAAATGAGTATAATGCAGTTCCTTATAGAAGGAACCTGCTTAAATTCCCAACTTTCCAAGCTTTCTAAGAGCAATACATTTAAAAGAAAAGCTAGTTTTTAGGAGAGTTGATAGATGTACTTAATTAAGTACAACTAAAACCCTAGATATTAAAAGTCTAAAGAGGGGATAAAAGACAAACTATCTAGTAGCCTTAGGAGCTGAGGAAAAACATGATGGTAAATTCCCTGGCTTTATTTTTGGCTTCCTATATCCCAGACTTGGAGCTGAAGATGCCAGCAACCCAAAAATGTAAAAGCAAAAATAAAAATCCAAAGTCTCCCTGACCAGAGAACCTGAAAAGGGCAGCCCAGCAAAGCAGTAACCACCTTAGTCCAGCCAAATACCTCAGAGAACACACCTGAGACCAGCAAAAGCCAGTGGAGAATCTAGACATCTCCTTGCTGAGGCTGAATGGGGTTCCCCTCCATCTCTACTAAGGCAATAACAGAAAAGGCCAAAAGGGAGCCACAACTTTGCTCCACCCTACTCCTCCAATGGTGGTGTCAATGGAGAAGACCATGTGAGGAGCCAGAACTCTTGCCTGTACCAACCTATTTTCTAGCAAGAAGCCCTCCCCACCCTCAGGTATCAACAAAAGCCAAGGAGGAAACTTCTGTTTCCATCCAGCAGTAACAAGGTGGTGCCACCCTCCACTTTGCTGGAATTATGTTAGAAAAACCCAGCCAAAAGCAAGGTTTAAATTAAAACCAGAGCCTTATAACAAAATGAGAATTCCTTGTTTCAATTAAAAACCATTCATATCAAAAAATGGAAAAATCTCAAACCAAATGAGAAAAATACTAAATCCCAATGAAACAGAGGTATTAGAATTATCTGATAAAGATTTTAAACCAGCCATGAAGAAAAAGCAATTACAAGTAAAGTTTAACTCAAGTGAAAAGCACAGGATGGCTGAGCAAAGAAAGACCAAATGGAGTTTTTAGAACTAAAAAAATATTAAAACCCTCATTGAATGTACTCAATAGCAAACACAGAGAACAGAGAAAAGTATTCCGTTAACTGGAACAGAAATTGTCAAATTTGAACAACAAAGAGAATACAGTCTTAAGTGAATACTCCCAAGGACCTGTGAGATTCTAACAAAAAAATCTAACATTTATGTCATTGTAGTCTAAGATGGAGAGGACAAAGATCTAAAGAAGTATTTAAATAATGGCTACACCTACACGTTGCTTAACAATGGAGCTGCATTCTGAAAATGTGTACTTGGGTGGTTTCATCATCGTAGAAATGTCAAGTATACAAAACCAGATGATACAGACCTGGCCTCTAACACAATGTTTTAGGCTACTGCTGACATAACACAGCATGCTGTTTTATAGTCAACTTTAAAAAAAAAAAAAAACTAAAAGGAATATACTCTGTATATAAAAAGCCAGTAGTATAGTTATCCACTATCATTACCAACTATTATGCACTATATATAGTTGTATGTGCTACACTTGGATACAGCTGTCAAGTCTGTTGTGGTCAGCACCAGCAACATCTTACCTTACCTGACTAATGTGTTACAATGGTTATATCATTAGGCCATCTTAATCTTAGGGGACCATCATTACATATGTGGTGTATCTTGAGTGAATATTGTGATATGGCACATAATATATTTGAGAAACTAAGTTTAGACTTATGAGTAGAGTAACAAGAAATCCAGGCCAAGACACATCACAATTAAACTTATTAAAGAGGAAAATCTTGAAAACAGAAACCTGAGACTCTAGAGGAGAGAACTATAAGAATGACATAGAATCTTATCAAGAGCTATGGAGGCCAGAAGATAGTAGCACAAAATTTTCCAGGTGCTGTATTAACTCAGAATCCTATACCCAGAGAAAATCTCTCTGGGAATTAAAGGAAACCAAGATATTCTCAGATACAAGAAAACTAGAAAATTTTATCACCAATAGACCAACCCTAAAGAAAGTCCTCTAAATGAAAGGAAAAGACACAAGGGTTGGGAGTATAGTTCAGTGGTAGAACACATGCTCAGGCTCTGGGTTCAATACCCAAAACTTAAGGAAAGAATAAGAGGTGGAATCTTAGAACATTAACAAGGAAAAGAACACAGCAAGCAAAATATGAGTGCATACTTGCCATGATCTGTCCCCCAAAAGTTCACTTGCTCAAAGTATAGTCTCTAGTGTGACAGTGCCTTTAAGAGATAGAACCTAGTGAAAGGTAATTATTAAGTCCTGAGGGCATCACCTCTAAAAGATATTAATGAAGTTATCCCACAACCAAGTTAATTCTCTAGAAAGCAAGTTATCATAAGGCCATCCCACATGCTTCTCTGCCACACTGACATAGTCAGGGAGCCCTCATAGGATGTTAGCCCCATGCTGTTTGGACTTACCAGCTACTAAAATAATGAATTACACTATAAAGTGCCAGCTTCAGGTATTTTATTGTAGCAGCACAAAACAGACTAAAACAATATTCTAGACTTACTTTCTTCTTTAGGTTTCTAAATCGTGTTTGATGTTGAAGCAAAATTTACAACATTGTATTGTGGTATGGAAACACAGGACAATTATAAACAGTACAGGGTAAAGGCTATTAAAGGAAAATAAGGTTCTTTTACACATAAATTACTAAAATGATGCTATAGACTCCAACAAGTTTTGTCCAACCCATAGCAAACACTAAAAAAGCGGGGCAAAGAGATACATGCCAAGATTCCATAAGTAAATAAAAATGGAATTCTAAGTGTTCAAATAGCCAAAAGGAAAAATAACAAACAGAAAACAAAGAAGAAAACAGCTATTAAGCCCCTAACCTATTACAATTACATTAAATGTAAAGGTAAATGGTCTAAATAAAGTGATTAGAAAAGATTAGCAGGGTACATTTAAAATCATGACCCAACTGAAAGCTGTCCTCAAGAAACTCCCTTCAAATGCAAGCTGAAAGTAAAAGGATAGAGAAGACCATACTTTGTAAATAGTAATCAGAGAAAAGCAAGAGAGACTATACTGTCATATAAAGTAACAGAAAATTATCAGAAATGAGCAATACAGAATGATAAAGGGGTCAATTCACCACACAGCAATCCTAAACGTGTATACACCAAACAAAAAATAATTAAGATGAAAAGATAAAGAGTGAAAGAAAAGCTTGGCATGATGATGCACATGTGAAATCCCAGCTACTGAGGAGGCCAAGACAGAAGTATAACTTCAAGAACAACCTGGGCAATTTATATACTCTCTCAAAAGTAAAAGAGGGGGCCGGGGTTGTGGCTCAGTGGAAGAGTGCTCACTGGGTTCGTTCCCCGGCACCGCATAAAAATAAACAAAATAAAAGTATTGTGTTCATCTACAACTAAAAAAAATATTTTAAAAAAGTAAAAGGGGTTGGGGATATAACTAAGTGGTATAGCACCCCTGAGTTCAATCCCCAATGCGGGGGATGGGGGTGGAATAAAATGCTATTATGACTTTCAATGGGTGAATGGCTGAAGTGTAGTCCACGTACACCATGGAAATTTCATCGAAAAATAGGAAGGAAATACTTATGCACATAATAATCTAATAAATCTTCAGAGATTTATGCTGAGGTGGAAAAAAGCCAATTCCAAAAGTGTACATATGATTTCATTTCTATAACACACTTGAAGTGACAAAATTATAGAAATGGAAAATAAATTCATGGTAACTTGGTATTCAGGAAGTGGTAAGGACAGGAGAGAAATAGTTATGGCTATAAAAGGGCAACATGAGACATTCTTATGGTAATGGAATTAATCAATATCCTGATTATGATACTTTATTATAGTTTGCCAGAAGTTGGAGGAAATTGGGTAAAGCATTCTCATGTGACAGTTTCCAAAAGTATTAGGAATAGGGAATTCAGAGCCTACCTTCTACTAAGCACTGTTGTGTGGAACGTTCTCCATTTTCTTCAACTCCCCTGCCCCAACCTACAAACCACCTATAAACAATACCTATACAGACACAACCTATATTCTGGCAACTTCTATGTATTTTTTAGACTTAGGATTTAAATACCTATCACCTTCTCCAGCAAGCTTCCCTTTTTAACTTCTGGCCTTAATACCTTGCATTAAAAAGCCCCTCTTTGGTATTCCCATCATATGCAATACATTCTAGCAGTTTGGTATCATATTATCCGTTAATCAGCAAATTATATGTCCGTCTTCCACACAAAGTAATAAACTTAAGACCAAAAACTTATAGTCAAATTCATTTCTGTACCCTTAGTACATAGCTCAATGCCTGATATAAGAGACACTCAATAAAACATGGCCTAACAGGACTGGGGCTGTAGCTCAGTGGCAGACCACTTGCCTAGCATGTGTGAGGCACTGGATTCAATCCTCAGCACCACATAAAAAAGCAAATAAATAAAATAAAGGCATGTTGTCCATCTATAATCATAAAAAAATCTGGCCTAACATAAATCTGCTGATAAGGATACTATAAAATTAATATTTATATTCTACCTTATTCTAAAAATGTATAATTCTGGTGGTTTTGCTAAAGCCCAGTGCCATCTAGAATACTTCACCCTCAGTGACAGAGAATAAATGAGCTTGGTAGAGTTCAGTAGTTCATTTGTGCCCACAACCCGATGTAAGAAGGAAAGGCTGGGTGGTTGGGATAAACATATTCTTACCTGCCATCTCTGATGAGCTCTTCAGCTGATTCAATCAGCTTATTAAGTTTTTTTACTTGTTTATAGTGTGCAAAACACCTTTTATGATCCTGATCAAGTTTTAGACATTCACGAACTTCACTGCTCATGGAATTGAAAAAAGGAAAATGCTCCAAGTCAAAATATTCAGTTTTCCATATTAAATACAAAAATCACAAAATAGTATTTTGATTTGTAACAAAACATACTTAATAATTTACTATGTACTTGTATATGACACTATACCAACCATGAACACATTTTCTAATTCAAAGTAAAATGACTTATATAGAATTATACATTAAACAGTATTTTGTTTTTAGAAAACAAATTCTTATTTACTTACTTTTATGAAATAAACACTTTTCATGAAAATAAACTATGAAACTAGAGTAAGGAATGACATATAAACAGTATAAAATGTCAACCACATATTAATTTAATATTAAAATCTTAAAACTGACCTGAGGGATAATTCATGGTCTCCAAGTTGGTAGTACAGTGTGCTGATTTTATAAAATGCTTCAGTATTGTCATTCTTCAGTTTTGATGTGGCTTTTAAGTCACTTATAGCTTTCCTAGGTTCTCCTTCTTTTATAAAACATTCAGCTCGAAGTTCCCGTAGTTCTGCATCCCAAACACAAACCTTGAGAAACAAAAGAACTAGACTTTAAGAAACAATAAATTATGAACACTCATTACTGTATCCCACATATTTTTATCTGTATTTTTATAAACATCCTCAATGTGATGACTTCCATATTGTAAAGAGTGTTTAAAAGTCCTTTACAATTTAAATATGATTAAAAAAAAGATGGCACCCACCTGTAATCCCAGCTATTTAGGAGAATGAGATAAGAGGATTGCAAGTTATAAGACAACATCAGCAACATAGCAAGACCCTGTCTCGAAATAAAATGAAAGGAAACAAAAAGGCTGGGAATATGGCTCAGAGATAGAATGTTTCTGAATCCAATCCCAAATACTGGGGGGAAAAAATTGTGGCAATTGCTCCAAAAATATCTTAAAATTCTAATCTGGCCCTTTTCTTTCCTCCTTCAATTATAATTCTAAAACTTAATAATAATAATTTTAAAAAGGCAACATAGCATTTACTATCCATGGTTGTTCCCAGTGAAGCATATTTGGAGAGAATTTCCAATAGTCAGTTCTTTTTACTTAACAACTCTAATGTCTAGTCCAGAAAATAAATTGAGTAAAATATGATGGGAAATATGTGTATTCTACTGATAACTAAATTCTCTCTTTTATAAAGTGTCATTTCCTTGAAATTAAATCCTTTTATCAAAAAAATAAAGGAAAAACAATGTGAGAAGGCTGGAGGCTTCACCATTTGTTTTATCAAAAGTCCATAATGTTTAGAAAATATACTGGCATTCTTTAAAACATAAACCCAAAAGCTCAGCAATGTGACATTTGGGAGTATCTTTACATAATTTATTTGAACTGCTCTAAGTCATGCCCAATTTTCACATTAATGAAGATCAAAATCAACTTCATATAAATTAAAGAATCATGGACAGTGAGGAAGGTCAAAATGGACAATCTAACTAGTGTTAGAAAGTAAAGGTCATAACTTTACATTTCCTAATATTGTAAAACATAGTTTAGTAAAACATAAATTCCACCAGCTCATATCACAAGATTTCCCCTATAATTATGAAAGAAATGCCCATTCTACACACAAGTTTACTACCAAGATTTAATGAAACTGTACATCAAAATACTGTGAAAATGGTAATTAAGTATGAATTATGACTACTTCCACTTTATTACTTTAGACTTTCTTCTAAAATTATGTGTCATTAAATCTTTCTGAGGCAGGGAAACCCTAGATTTAAGTTTCCTATCTAGAACCCTTTGAGTCCTATCAACTCTGTCTGCCTTCTTTCCTACAACACTCCTTTTTTTCCCAAATATAATTTTTCCTTTCCTTTTTCTTCAACCAACTGTCATCTCTTACACCATTATGTAATCTCCAGAGTTCTTTTCCCTCAAAAATTGAAAAATCAAACCAAAATAGCAAAGCAAGTAATGTATGAAAATATGTAACTCTCGCTCCACAGCACATTCAAAACATTCTGAAAACCTTAGTTTTCAGCACATTCTGAAAATTCAGTTGCAAATTATGTTCCATACAAACACAATCTTTCACTTAACAGCTGAAAGTTCATTTTATTCTGTCTAAGTGTTTTGTGGTATATTGTATGTTTAAGTGATAAACATGTCTTACAGTAAAAAGCAGTAAGTGCCGCTTGTCAGCATGGTATCTAAGAAACTTACCTCTAAAATCTTATCAAGGAAGGTTATAGCAGCAGTATAATCTGCACTTTCAAAAGCCTCGAGTGCTTGTGAACGCAAACGTTGCATTTCATCAGACTTGAGAAGTTGTGACTGGGCTTCCTTTTCTTCATTTTCACTTGGATTAGATTTGAGCTACAAGAACAACAAATAAAACTTAAATCCAGTACTCATAAACAAAGTCTGACCATTCCAAGTAAGTTTGAGCAGACCCTGAGGCAGAGGACCCCAGTTAATTCCCATATTCCTAACCCCATAACTTTTAAGGTAATATAAATATGTGTCTTAAGCTGTTAACTTTGGATAATTTGTTATACAGCCACAGGAAACCAATACAGCAGTAACACAGGGTAAAAGTTTTACCATTTCTCTGTGGCCAGGTTATAAATATTTTGAAAAAGATTTTGTACCATTTATGTTCCTAGTCTAAATAATTAATAAACCCAAATCTGGGGCTGGGGTTGTGACTCAGTGGTAGAGTGCTTGTAGCATGGGTGAGGCACTGGGTTCGATCCTCAGCACCACATAAAAATAAAAGGTGTTCTGTCATCTACAACTAAAATATGAATATATATATATGTGTGTGTGTGTGTGTGTATGTATATGTATATGTATACACACACACACATTTTAAAATAAAACCCAAATCCTGAATTAATCATGTATCTCCAAGTTATCTGGATTTTGACAATAAGATGGAGATAACAGTACTTACACTCTATGGAGTAGTTGTTGAGAGATTAAAAAGGTACTCTACACATAACACACGTAAAGTATTCCAAAAACCCTAGTGAAATTATAGATTCTTTTTGTGATCTTTTCTCTTTCTTTTTTTTTTTTTATTTGTTGCTGTTGTTGTTGTGTGTATGTGTGTGTGGTGGGGGTATGGAATTGAAACCAGGGCCTTGAGCACGCTAAGCATATGTCCTATCACTGAACTACACCTCCAGCCCCTTTTGTAATCTTTCTATAATAAGGATAGATTGCAAAAGATACATACTTTAAAAGGATGCTCAATTTGTTTTCCATTATATACATCAGTCAACATAAACTGGATACTATTATAGTAGTTAAAGTCCTAGGTTAATAGAACGTAAATTTGACTTCTTTGAGGACAAAATAAAATTAGACTATGATGTCTATAGTCCCACTTATTTTTGTACTTTTATAACCTGAGATTTTAGGAAACAATCAAAAAATGAAAAGACAATCTACAGATAAAATTTTAAAAACTATAAACCAGAAAAGTGATTACCATCCAAGATTTATCAATAATTCATACAACTCAACAGCAGGAAAATACATAATCAGATGAAAAATGGGCAAAGGACTTGAAAAGACATTTCTTCTAGAATGTGCCCCACGGGTCCATGTTTTAAAGGCGCTATTCTGAGCATGAGGTCTAGAGGAATTTAGGTCATTGGGATCATGATGTCAAAGGAGACTGTGAGACTCCAGTCTCTTTCTCTTCTTTCATCCTGAACATGAAATGAACAAGCTTCCTCCACCAACCATCCTGCCATGATATTTGGCCTTGGCTTGTGCCCAAAAACAAGCCAACTGATGGATAGATACCTCTAAAACTGTAAGCCAAAATAAGTTGATTATCTCAAGTATCTTATTATTGCTAACAGGAAGCTAACTCACACATCCATTACCAAAAAAGAGATAAGAAGTTTTGGCAAGGGTGTGGAGAAAAGGGAATCCTTCTATATTGGTGAGACTGTAAATTGTTATAGCCATTATGAAAAAAAAGTATGGAGAGGTTCCCAAAAAAATTAAAATAGAACTACCATATGACCTAGTAACTTCTCTCCTTGGTATATACTCAAAGGAAATGAAATCACCACTTTCTAAATATATCTATAATTTTATGTTCATTGCAGCACTGTTTACAAAGGCCAAGATATGGAAACAACTTAGATTTCTGCCATATCTTGGATCTTGAATGTCCCCCACCCCCAAAGGTCCATGTGGTAAAGGTTTGATCTCCAGCATGATGCTATTGGGGGAAGTGGAAACTCTAAAGAAGTGGGGTGTAATAGAAGGTCTTTAGGTCATTGGGAGCATGCCCTTAAAGGGAATAATGGGATCCCAGCTCTAGTTATGTGTTATCCTGACACAGGCACAAAGCAACAGATTCTGGACTAAAACTTCTAAACCTGTGAATGAAAATAAACCTTTTCTAAGTTGATTTTTCTCAGGTATTTTTTAAGTAACAGCAATCAAACAGTGTCCATCAGTGGACAAATGGACAAAGAAACTGTCTCTCACACACACACACACACACACACAATTATTCAGCCATAAAAAGGCAGATATCCTGCCATTTGCTACAACATGGATGGACTCAGAGAACATTATGCCAGAAATAACATTATGCCAAATATATGAAATAACCAGATACAGAAAGCAAAATATTATATGACTTCACTTATATGTGGAATCTTTGAAAACAAATTTTCAGTCTACACAGAGAATAAAACAGTGGTTGTAACACCAGGGTCTGTTTGAGAAATAAGAAATGGAGAGTTGTGGGTCAAAGGATACAATATAGCAGATATGTAGGATTGACAAATCTAATGATTAATGTACAATATTAGGAATATAGTTAGTAATAATATGTGTGAGTCATATTCAGGATTTATTACTAAATGAATAGATTACAGCTACACTTGCCACATGGGAAAAAACATGGATGAAGATATAATGGATACATTACTTTCTTCCAGTTTAGTAATAGTCACTGTACTGTAAATGTATCTTTATGCTGTCGTGTTGTATACCTTAAATATACACAATAAAATTAATTTCAAAAATTAATTTAAAAAAAATAAGATGTTAGAGGCTGGGGTTGTGGCTCAGTGGTAGCGTGCTTGCCTAGCACATGTAACACACTGGATTTGATTCTCAGCACCACATACAAATAAATAAACTAAAGGGCAACTAAAAAATATTTTAAAAAAATAAGAAGATGTTAGACTTTGGCATAACATATATTCATTGATCTACTTGTTTTTTAGATACTATATTGCCAAGGCTAAAAAATTTAATTATAGTTTAGGAGTAAGCAGCACAAATTTTAAAAAATTTATACACTTGATAATATATAAAAAATATGGAATACTTAAGTCACATTCTCTAGTGACTTCTGGAATTTGCCTTTATATTCTTTCTGAATGGCAAAAAAAGAAACCAAGAAAAGAACCAGTTTTTAAAAAAGAATATTATACAAGTCAGAGAGAAGGAAATTACATGCAAGCACTCTAAGGTCCTTATGTTATCCACAATGTTAAAGCTTACTATTGTTAAATTAAATGGCCTGAGGTTATAACCTATAGTGAGTTCCCACTTAAAGTAACTGCTAGATTTCGTATATAAAAAACAAAACTAAAAACCTAACAAAATCAAAGAACTTCAGCCAATCACAAGCAGTAAACCTCATCCAATTGCAGGCTGTCAACTCACTGACCATGTCCAAACAAGGCAAAGGCAGCACTCTCACTGATCAAGCTATTTCTATACTATTTCTTTCTATAAAATAATCATAGCCACATTGCAGAACGCAGCTCTCGGAACCTTTTCTGGTTCTAAGTACTGTCCAATTCATAAATCCTTCTTTGCTAAAATAAACTGCCATATTTAACATGTTGAAAGTTTTAATACTATTTAGCTATAGTAATCAAGAGCCTAAGAATGGCAAAGGACAGACACATTGAGCAATGGAACAGAATAGAGAACTCAGAAGGACCCACACAAGTACAGCCAACTGAAGGAGGTGCAAAAGCAACTCACTGAAGGAAATTGCTAGAGTAATCGGACATCCAAAGGCAAAAGAGATCAAGCTTGACTCTAACTTCATATTATTATACAAAACTTAATTCAAAATAGGTTACAGACTTAAATGTAAAACTTAAAAGCATAAAGCAGGAGAAAAGTTTTATAACTTAGAGCTTGATGACTATTTCTTAGAAAATGATACCAAAAGCACCTTGTACTTTGTGCTTTCCATAGAAGTGAAAAAAAAACAATAAATTTTGTCAAAATTAAAGCTTTTGTTCTATATAAAAGACACTGAAGAAAACTAAAATATGCACTGGGACTGGGGCTCAGCGGTAGAGCACTCATCTCGCATGTGTGAAGCTCTGGGTTCAATCTTCAACACCACATAAATAAAATAAAAAGGTATTGTGTCCACCTACAACTAAAAAAAATATTTTAAACAAAAAATAAAACTAAAATATTTGCAAATATATACACATATCTGACAAAATACCTTAAACATAAAGAACACTCATAACACCACAGTTTTTTTTTAAGTAATCCTATGAGAATATGGGCAAAAGACATTAACAGATATTTCATTGAAAAGGATTTACAGATGAAAATGTAAATGCATCCTTAACCATTAGGGAAATGTTAGATTAAAATCAAAATTTGATGACAAAAATAAAAAATAACAGTGATATCAAATCCTGGACCAAGGATGAAGAGGAATGTAAAATGGTACAGTCACTCTAGAAAGCAATTTGGAGATTTCTTACAAAACTAAACACATAGTTAATATACAATCTAGCAACTGAACTCTTGGGCATTTACCTCAGAGAAATTAAAATTCATGTTTACATAAAGACCTTTACAAGAATGTTCATAGTAGCTTTATTTGCAGTAACCCAAATGACAAAAACAATCCAAACATCCCTCAAGTGATGAATGGAAAATTATGTCATATAAGTATTATGGAATGTTAAGCAGTGAAAAGGAATAAACTAAGTGATGTATGCCAAAACTAGGATGATTCTCCAGAAAATTATGCTGAATAAAAAAAAATTTTATATTTGCATATCAATTGCAAAAGGTTATATAACATTTTTGAAATGTCAAAATTTGAAAAATGAATAACAAATTAGTGGTTGCCAAGAATTATGGATAGGGACCTAGAAAAGCAACAGAGAGGATTCTGGTGGTAATAGAACTGTTTGGTACTGGTGGTGACCACAAAAAACAACATACGTGATAAAGTGTATAGGGAGTGAATACACACACACACACACACACACACACACACACACACACACAGAGCAATGAATAGTAAAACAGAGAGAATCTAAATAAATTGGTAAACAGTATGAATG